AAGTGAGCCAAGTTGTTCTTAATAAGCTTATTACCAGCTTCTGCTGATTAATCAGAATGGAGTATTTGATCAGAATGCTAATTTTTCTGCTGTGTGGCTCGTATCGGTACAAATCTTGCTTACAGTACTATTGGAAGTTTGACATTTTGCACAAGGTATTCTGGAAGCCTTAAATTAAGCTGAGTGATGAAGCTTGAAATCAGATTTTGCTCTGTGCATGAATCTTACTCTGCAATAACCTTCATCCAATTTTAACATGTCTAGTATATGCATTAAAGATTTTTTTTTTTTTTTCTTGGGGCCTGCTCAAGAACCTGCAGGTATGAATGGGCTTTAGGTATAGCCCTTAATACATGCTTGAGCAAATTACTTAAGCATATGCTGGATTTCAGGCATGCAGACGTTCCTGTCACCATATTACTTTGCTGACTTCAGCACATACCTATCATTTAAAGTGCATGCTTAAGTGCTTTGCTGAAATACAGCCCTGATTTTTGTATTATCCCCTTGTAGGGATGCACCAAAGTGTTTTTTGTTTTTTTTGTTTTCCTCTGCTTTCCAAGAGAAACACTTCTGCATAGACATGTGAATATCTGAAACATGAGTGCACTGAATGTTTCATTCCAAAGGTTTTCTTTTTTTCCCCTCCTCTCAAAGCTGGCAAGAATACAGGGGAAACAATAACTGAGAAATTAAAAACCAAGGAAATACTGCTTATATTGGAAACTTTGGAAAAGGGGAACACTTGCAAAGAAAACCCATTTCCACTGCAAGGCTGAGAACCAACCATTTTGATGGGCTCTCCTGAGTGTGTGAAGGAGTCAACATCTTGAGTTGTACTGACCAAACCTTTAGAGATTCAGGAATTAATTACCTACGTACCTTGTCACTGTTGGTGTCTTGGGACATGAGTAGGATTATAAGTTTGGCTTTGGTTATGCTTGTCTGCATGTAGAGGGTTGCATCAAGTTTCTAAGGTGAATTTCCTGCTGCCAAGACACTGTAGACTGACTGACTGACTGACTTGTTCTTGACAGCTGAACAGGATTGACCTGGTAGAGATGGGTCACTGGTTATGGGAGACTCAGATAGCAGTGGGAACTCTAGAGCAATAGTTAAGTGGGGAAAAGCACTGCTTGTCCAAACTAGAGAAAGGAGGGCATGCTCCCTGGGGCTTTTGGTAGGGGAGCAGCCTGTGCTTTTTTGCCCTAGTTCTAGTCCCTCTTGGGTGGATATTGATAGGCCCCATGGCTTACCTTTTGGTTTCTATACTCCCTAAAGTAATACACATCATGGGCTAGAGTAGCATTATCCATCCATTATAAATGTACCTAATTTTGCCCTATGTACATAATTATTTGCCTCAAAATATGGTCAGAGCCCATTATTCCAGGCACCACAGAGAAACCTAATAGGAGTTGGTCCCTGCCCTGGAGAACTTAAAAGTCTAAATAGACAAAATGGGTGAAGGCAGGAAAGAGACCTCAGGCATAAGGAAGATGCATGTACCATTTGAATCTTTGAACAGAATTGGCTCCTCATAGATGGTTGTTGTTATTATTAGATCTCCATATGATCCAGCATACAATGCTGCTTTTTAAACCGTGTCAGATGGGATTTATCAGAGACTTAGAGCTAGCACTTAACAAAGTTTTCTGCCTTTACTGCTACATGTGAACATGGGCTTCCCTCCTGCTTATTTTATATAGAACGGCAAAGTGATTTGATGGATCTGAGAAGACAGTTAGCACAGCCTGGAAACAAAGCTGTTGTCTGTGGCTGTTACGTTGTCAAGCCAAAGTGTTGAAAAATCATGGAACTGGTATCCCGTTCCACACCATGCGACTGACTTTTTTTTTTTTTTTTTAATTTATAATCAGGACATTTTCAGTCATAACTAATGTGAGGTTCCTTTTCTTTTGGGGTGGGGGGTAGGGGAGGGCTCACATGGTCTGGTATCACATTTCCAAGTTTCCCTGCAGCTATAAGGTCTAGTTTTCATATAAAATTAAAATATACACATAATCACAAGATGCCAGAAGCTGGGACTTTTAAAAAAATGTAAAGGACTTATGTGGCATCCAGAAGCACAGGGCCAGGACTTATGAAGCAGCCTAATTCCTTTTCTAAACATACAAGTTATACTGCTGTAGCTGTATTGCAGCAGTTAAAGTAGTATGACATACTTGTGTGGACACTGTTAAACTATTTAATGAAGGTGCGTGATTCCAGTGTAAATGTTTTCCCTATATGGGAATAAGTTCTACTGGATATAACTGTTTGTACAGTAGGGATTGGTTTAAGACCACTATGTTGGTGGGAAAATGACACCTGTAACCAGTGTAGTTAAATTGGGGGTGCAGGGGAATTGGGTATAGATGAGATTTAAGGGTTTAGGAGTCTCAATTCACTTTAAAGAATGTAGGATCCTGGGATGTACCAGTCCCTGTAGGAGACTTGGAAAATCGCGCTGTCCGCAGTTCCTGCTTTGAGCGCTTGGAAAGTTTTTCTTCTGTGTTTCTTGATGTTTCAGAAAGATTGATATTTTTCCAGCCCCCACAGATGGACAAAACTGAATGATTTGTGTTTCACTCTAGAACAGGCAGGGCACTGGAAAGGAATGATTTGTCCAAGAGCTCACTTAAATGAATAACTACTTTATTTGTGGATGGTGAACTTGATTTCTCTGTGGAAGACCACAAAGCCCATTTGAGACTTTCACCCCCCTTTAATTGAAAGGGTGAATAGTGCCTTGCACTTACGCGCCCCCCCCCCCCCCCCAAGTGTCAGGGATTCTACCTCAGTGGCATTAAAACAAAATTAATTATTAATTGCAATGATTTATTCTTGCTCTTTTAAGGAACTGCTTTCTGACTATTGCACATTGTCCTGGAAATTTCAGATAACGCTCAAAAGAAATAACCTTGCACTTGCATGTTTTTTGGAGAGAACCCGTATATATGCAATTAAAAAAATTTTTTGGCAATCTACAGAATCAGTTCTGTTCAGCAGAAACTCCATTAAGAAAATTAAAGTCCAGTGTCCTCCCTTTGATTAGTCCAGAGCCTAGCAAAATCCTCCAAGGTAGAATAATGAACGAGGCTTCCTTTCATCTTTAATACTTGATTAATCAATAGGAAGAAATCCTTCTGAGTGACTAATCTATACTTACTTTGATAATTGGCCCTCTCGCTTGCAGCAGTGTTGACTTGGCAGGATTTTTACAACCTTGTTTTTCTTTCTCAGTTGACATCCGAAGAAAAGGACTC